CTGGGATCCATTTTGATGCTCCCCTTGACAGCCATTTTTGTCCTCTCCGATGAACCAGGATGAACCGAACACTGCTCAGTTGTTTCTTTGCCGTGTTTCCTGAACTGCATGATGATTCTGTTGACTGTCGAAAGCGGAATTCCCAAATTCTGCTAAATTTGCCACTGACTTATTCCACCATCTGCTTGACCAACTATCCTTCCTCTAACAAAATCTGACAATTCGAGAGAACCTTGAGTTCTAGGCATGTTGTAGCACAAGATAAGTAGTGTGCGGACCATTTTCATTTTTATAGTGCTCTGTGAACACAAATTAGTTAGCATATATCAGTTAAATGATGAAAAATTAGGTGTCTATTTACTTGTGACCACTCAGCGTATATTGATCTCAACCATGAACTTTTTTTAGAAAGAATCATGACGTATTAGTGACATTGCTCTCAATGGTCATCATTAAATCTTTGTCATTTTACATATTATAACTGAAAACAATATCAAAATAAATATGTTTATGAACATCAATCAACTTTGAAACTGAATAAATTAATAAAATTGAACTTTCTGATTAACAATAAACAAAGCTGAAATTGTAAAATGAAAGGTTTTTCTTTTTTAATTATTTTTTTCAAAGCAGTATCCCTCAACAAAATTCCACAACCTAAACTATGATAGAAATACAGAATCAAATCATATGAATCTTTTAAGCTGAAGCTAAATATAATTGAGTATGTTTGAATAAACAGAGTTGTTTAAACATTTGTTTAACAACAAGTAAAGGCTTGGAATGGTCTATTCTTTCACTGGGGTGTGTGTCTGTGAGGCAGACTAGTTTCAGAGAATTCCACTCCTCATCAGTGACCCTGTACACTACTACCAATGAAATATCAGACCAAACCAAGACTTTATAGTAGCGAGGTATCGAAAATCGAACTGGTGTATTTAAGTGTTTTACACTCACAAAAAAAGAAACCTATCATTCTATAGGTATTTGAAGAACTTGTAACATTTCGCTACAATTTAATTTTGTCAGATATTTCACTGATGGTAGTGTTCAGGGTCACTGATGAGGAGTGAAATTCTCCGAAACTAGTCTGGCTCACAGACACACCCCCAATGAAAGAATAAACCATTCCAATCCTTTACTTGTTGTTAAACAAGTGTTTAAACAACTCTATTTGTTCTCAGGTTCATGCAATTTGGTGAAGTATATCTACTGAGAGAAGGAAAAACATCAGTGACACTCTTTCGGTCTGAAAGTGTTAACACAGGATATTCTGACACAGTCCTAGGTCTGTTTCAGTTGGAGATGTTCTCATAACTTGGAAGAGTTCACATATTACAACTGAATGTTTTAGAAGTATTTCATTAAAGTGAATTCACTGAAAATTAATATACATTTCCATTTCTCTCAAATTCAAATTTTTATCTCAGTAAAATCGATTTCTTCAAATTATTTTTCTATAGTTATAGGAGTTTTTAGCACTAGCCAATGCACAAGCTCTCCTATCTCCTATCATGGAGTCCTGTCACAGCACTTTTGTTGGTGTGCAGTTCAATTTCAAACTACTAACCACAGGGAAGCAACCAGTCTGCATCAACATACTGCTCTTTTTTTGTTATGTATTTAAAGTAAAAATATTTAATTGTTTTAATTTATGCAATTATCTATTATTATTATTATTATGTATCATTTTTTAAACCAACGTAAATAAGAGGGGATTCCACTTTTCACACAAAAACTTCTAATTCCTGCTTGATACTATAGCAACAGGTAAAAAAAAAACACAATCTAATGTCAAAAACTGGATTTGTCACAAACAAAGTAAGTTAATCCAAGTTACCTATAGGATTAACCTGCTTTGTTTACTTATTCTCAAAATAACTAAAAATTAGTTGGTGCTTTTATAAGAAGGTTCATATTTTTAACTACGGTCATTTAAAACAAGTGCTAAAAGATGCTTCCTACATTTTTAATTAAATATCATTTCTTTTAATATAGACGTAATATATATTAATTATGTTTTAAGGACAGTGAATTTAGGAATTTTGCTTAATGGTAATCAGAGCTAACGCTATTGTTCCATTTTGACATCTTTCCAGCTTTTAAATTATCAGAAGTTAAGGAACACACCCACTAACTCATTATCTAACGTATCTGCTCAATATTGTAGCAACATGGCAATTAAAACATACACAAGCTAATTAGGTATTAAATAAAACATTGAGAGATTAGCTTTGATTTGTCTTCACTCTTCAGTATCCTCTCCTGTTAAACTATGGTTAAAATACAATTGTTTTTTTATAATTAATTACTCCTGAGATGTGTTTACTAACTAACATCATCAATAACTACTTATGTAGTAAGAAATATTGTGGTCATTTTGACTAACTTCATGTCTTTGGTTTCATATTGCTCATTAATTAAGATAGTGTTAAAAAGTTTGGAAACATAATAAAAATTCCAAATTTACCTTTCTTAGAGGATGGGCTTCTCTGATATCATATAGAATTATGCTACGGTCACTGGCTGTGCTTCCTATGATATTTGTCTACAAGGAAGAAACACACATTTTATACAAATGAAAAAATAATATAAAGTCATACACAAGCTGTGTTTCTAATGTCATACTGTAAAGTAAGTAGGCTGATATACAAGCTGTGTTTCTAATGTCATACTGTGAAGTAAGAAGACTGATATACAAGCTGTTACCAAGTTGTGTTTCTAATGTCATACTGTAAAGTAAGTAGGCTAATATTCAAGCTGTGTTTCTAATGTCATACTTGAAGTAAGAAGACTGATATACAAGCTGTTACCAAGCTGTGTTTCTAATGTCATACTGTAAAGTAAGTAGGCTGATATACAAGCTGTGTTTCTAATGTCATACTGTGAAGTAAGAAGACTGATATACAAGCTGTTACCAAGTTGTGTTTCTAATGTCATACTGTAAAGCAAGTAGGCTAATATTCAAGCTGTGTTTCTAATGTCATACTTGAAGTAAGTAGGCTGATATACAATCTGTGTTTCTAAAGTCATACTGTTAAGTAAGTAGGCTGATATACAAGCTGTTTCTAATGTCATACCTGAAGTAAGTAGGCTGATATACAGGCTGTGTTTCTAATGTCATACTGTGAAGTAAGTAAGTTGATATACAAGCTGTTACCAAGCTATGTTTCTCATGTCATACTGTAAAGTAAGTAGGCTGATATACAAGCTGTTTCTAATGTCATACCTGAAGTAAGTAGGCTGATATACAGGCTGTGTTTCTAATGTCATACTGTAAAGTAAGTAAGCTGATATACAAGCTGTTACCAAGCTATGTTTCTCATGTCATACTGTAAAGTAAGTAGGCTGATACACAAGGTGTCACTAATCTGTTTTTCCATCATTCTGTGAAGTACATTGATAAAAAATGTGGATAAATATTAGTTTTCTCTTCAGTTAATAAACCAGTATTTAAATTTCTGATTCCACTTTCCTTGATCTTTGTTTTTAGACTTTTTTCTTTTCTTTATTCATCACAGTTTAAGTGTCTTTTGAGATCTTTACCATTATCGCTGTTATTTTCTGAGAGAAAACTACTGTTAAATAACAAAGACACTACTTAAATAATAGACAGTTCAATGCATACTACATTTGTGTTTATCTAACATTTCAAAGAAACACTGATGAAACAGTAGTGTGAAAGACAAATCAAATATCTACTCATTCATGATATTATAAAATACCATCAGTACGAAATGAGTAATTTAAAAATTCCACTGACCTCTACAGGATTAAACTTGACACTATGGAGACTGTCGACACCCCAAGTGAAAGACCTCAGCGGTTCTGATCGAGTTTCCTCCCATAAGTCTACTTTTTCTCCACATGTAACAAATAGTGGCTCCATCAGGTGGTGGGATATTCCCATCATAACTGACTATATATATAGTGGATAAAATAATACATTCCAATCATAAAAGACTATCTATACTGGTTAAAATCATATATTCCCATCATTACTGACTATATATATATATAGTGGATAAAATAATACGTTCCCATCATTACTGACTATATATATAGTGGATAAAATAATACGTTCCCATCATAAAAGACTATCTATACTGGTTAAAATCATATATTCCCATCATAACTGACTATAAGTAAATTAGATAAGTTACATAATAACTGACTATATGTACACATCATAATAAATAACATTAAATATTTCTTTGAAAATCCAATATCCAAAAAGTGACTCTGGGACTAGGAACATTGGCTTACAAGATCAGTGCTCCACCACTATACTGGTATATGTCAGAGGAAGCTATCTGTGGAAAGACTCAATGTCAGAGTGTGCCGTATCAGTGCTCCACCACTATACTGGTATATGTCAGAGGAAGCTATCTGTGGAAAGACGCAATGTCAGAGTGTGCCGTATCAGTGCTCCACCACTATACTGTATATGTCAGAGGAAGCTATCTGTGGAAAGACGCAATGTCAGAGTGTGCCGTATCAGTGCTCACGCTTAACTTTTTTCTTTTATGGAGCCAGTTAGGCCCCCAGAACATGCATTTTTTGGGGCCCGGAAGCAGTTTTAGGGGCCAATCCTATAGCTCATTGTAAAATGTACTCATTAGTGAAAGTTAACAAAAAATCATTCAATTAAATAACAGATGTTACATAAATTAAAATGAAACTAAAAATATCAACATATCTCAATTTATTTTGTTGTGAACTCATATTTCATGAAAAAAATAATAATAATGATTTAATTTTATCCTGACCAATTAAGTTATTTTTATTTCATACATGATCTTTAATTTCTCTCTAAAGCATGGTACAACAGTAATGTTTTGTTCCCCTTTGAGTTCTTGGGTGAATATGCCATTTGCCTCCATTTTTAGTACTGCACTGTGTATTAGGTCTTTGTTTGCAGAGGATGCTGAAGAGCGCATGACGACAGAGCGATTGGAAATTTGGAATGTCCCATTAGTTTCCAATAAGGGTGAGTCAATTGTTTGAATTGCGTATGCTACTATCCAAGATGTCACTAAGTTGAAAGTAGTAAACAGGTATATACAAATATTTCAAAATAACTAACTTATTGGACAGCTCTGAAACATTCCATTTCTTTATTTGACAGTCCCAGTATTTATTAATCTAATCAAAAACACCTTAGGTGTGAAAAAAAAAAGGTGTAGCCAAAAAAGGATTGAGCATGCGACTTAAAGGAATGAAATCAAAATGGGTGGCTACACTTACGGCATTGATAAGAATTTTACAGGAAATATTAATTCCTTTGATATTTAGGCCACATTTTTTGTTCAACTTGGGACATGATGGTGGGAAAAACAAAAAATGTGGCCTAGCTAACTAATGAAGGTGTTTTGGATTAGATATTGTGACTTTTTTTTCCATACACACCAACAAACCACAGCAAATAAGAAAGCTACACTTGATGTAACCCACATTAATTAGCTTTAGGATCGCAGCCCTATTATGCGGAACACACCTTTACTTTACACAACCAACCACATTCTTTAAAATATATGGTGTTAGTTTTCCTCTCTAAAACAGTGTTAATAACTTCCTTTATAGTAATGCCATGGAAACTTGATTAACAGTGTCTTGTCATAACCCCCATGCAATCGGTACAGCCGTATCAAGCACCATTATTTATGATAATTACTTAAGCTAATATCATGTGATGGTAAATTCTCTATAATTAGTATAATTTCATAAAATTGAGCAAAGTTATGCTTAAAAGTTCACCCTTACGATTCTTTTGAAAATTTGAGCTAGAAACTGCTAATCTAGTTTGTTTGGCCTAACCAATACTTATGTATCTGCACGTGCTTTCACTCTATAGTTTTGCTGTTCTTAGTCAGCCATCTTTAATCCAAATGACAAAAACCTAAAAAGGTCTACTTTTGCTCTTAGGTGAAGCTATAGTAAAAATTTTAGACTGATAGCTCACGTGACTTTTTGCATAGAAATGCACAAAATTTTGGTCAAAATTGAGCAGTTTTTGTTGAATAACTATGTACATGTGGATAATATTTAGACCATATTTGACACCTAATTGCAAAGACCTATCAGTGTACTAAAGTTGAGAAAAATCTATAAAATTTAAGTATGCTTTTCTATCAAATGAAGTTCCATACGTTTGGTGCAAAGAAACAAAAAAGAAATTCAACCAAAATTGAAGATTTCATCTCTTAATACATTGCCTTGAAATTGGTAAGTGAAGTAGGGGTCCAGTAGAGCACATGCACTGGAAATATGTGACAGTTTGGATTACCACAGTCCAAGCTAAAGAAAGTGAAAAATCACTAAAGTATCTCCCCTGTTAATAACATACAGTGTGTCCTGTAGGTTGTTTTGACCCCATGACACTACCATAGTATGCATAGTTTCAAGAAGTTACTTTAAAGTTAGTTGTGGCTCGACAAACATTGCTGATTGGTCGGATTGCTTCTGAATGAGAAAAACAAAATATTTTGAGTTTTTTGATAGGAAGCAAATGGTTGGTAAAACTAGAATCATGAAGGTGGGCAATTGTAACCAAACTGTTCCTTGTACCAGAAACTAATAGGGGACTGTAAACATCATCATTATTGAAAGTAAAAGCTAATATTTCATGATTTTATACACATGTCAAAAGTGACACAATGTAAGTGCTGAGATTTCAAACACATTCAATGAAAGCATGTGTCGAGCCAAAAGGTGATAAATATAAAATAATAAGAGCTCATGTGTGTGTGAGAGTGACCACCGTAGATCCAAGAGAAAATAAACTAGAGACTGAAACTTTGCATGCATACTATGGAGATTCTGAGGGTGTGTACCCGAGTATTATTTTTTAGATTTGATTCCAAAAAATTTTGGTCAATTTTTTGCCCAATAATAGCCCTTAATTCATATAATTCTGCTTCCTAAAGGTGTATAGAAAAGTAACATATTTTTTCTAATTCTCACTTACTGAATGAACAATATGTCGAGGTTTACTGCCAAATACTGTTGAAAAAGAACAAAATGATAAAAAAAAAATCTGCCCAAATTGGCCAAAAATGGACATATTTTATTGGAAATAAAAAAATTCAATAGCGTATGGAACCAAACACTTCTTAGCCAGTCAAAGACAACAGGGAAGGAAACAAAGGCATCAGGATCTCCTCGGACCCATGGAAGAGACCCTCAGAATTCTAGAAAAGGTTTGAATAAATAAAATTCAGGAAATTACATCAAACAATTCAGTTAAAGAACTTTGGTGCATGAAAAGACAATAGAGTTGAAATTTTTTCATTTTTCTTGCACTCATACAATCTGAGGCCTATCGGCCTCGGATTGTACACAAAACACGTGAAAAATAAATTATTAGTGTAAAAGAGAAAATAAGAAAAAAAATAGAATGTAAAAGTTAAAATTAATATTATTGGTTTCAAAACCTTGAATTAAATTATGTTTGGAAAAAAACTGCCAATAAAACAAAGGGAACATGCTGATGATTTCACAATAAGAGTTCAGACAAATAAAAATAATTGCTTTATAAGTTTGGGAAATGGCATCAAACAAAACAGTTAAAGAATATTGGCACATGAAAGAAATTTAAACACAAACATGGAAATCAAAATTAAAATCTGACAATTAAAAAAAAAGTTGAGTTGAACCAAGTTTGGAAAACGGCAACAAACAGTGGGAAGAAAAACATGAATCAGAGAATATTAGAGAATTCAAATAAAAACACAGGAAGAAAAAATTGAAATGAGAAGCTAAATTAAAACTATCTGCTTTTAAAACGAGTTGAATTAAGTTTGGGAAATGACAACAGACAAATCAATTAAGAAATTGGTGCATTGGGGAAGCTATAGAAGTAATTAAGGTAATGAAGAAGCTTGATTGGTACATTGAGAGTTCTGTGAATTATGAGGATACTTTAGAATCACACAGCAGAGCATGGATATTTTATGTTAGTTTTAAATAATTCAACCAACATGATGTGGGTCTTCATTATCATAAAGCATTCAAAGTTATCATTTTTTTTTTAAGGTTGGAAAGTTGATCATTACATACACAATAAAGATACAATTAGGAGAAATTTTAATAAAGCAAATTTAAAACAAATCCAGTTTGAAGATTACTCTCTTTACGAATGAAAACTTTCAAATGCTGTCACTTTATTTGACCTTTGGTTGGAATACTTTCTTCGGTTCAGAAGGTGGTTGAGTTCAAAATGTCTAAAGTGATAGCAAGTCCTCGAACTTCTGGCTGACGTGAATGATGAATTTAGGCAATGAGCCTCAACAATTTCTCTCTCACAATGGTCACATGACATTATGTATCGATCATGTAGTAGCCACAAGATCAATCCCAATTTTTTCTGTTTTACTCATTCAAATACAAAATGGAAAAGAGATCGTGATTTATTTTATTTATTCATATTTTTTTTTGCATGTCACATTTATTGATAACTTCAACCATTTCAAATTTAATGAAGCTTCAAAGTACATTCTCCGTAGTCATTACAATCTTTAAGGTTAAACTGTCAACAATAATGCACAATGACATCGTCGACTTTACTGTACATAATTGGAATCGGGTCAATTGTATACTATAATTATAAACAATTGATGATTTCCAAATGTGACATGATCAGTAAAACAGTAATATTGTTTTTTTTTTATTAGCTCAGTCTACAAAGTTGGATTCAAAAGTGTTTACCTAAACATGTACAAACAATGTACACACAGTAAGGTAGATTCTCCAAACAAATTACAAGTTTAATTTGTTTTTGGAAAATGTTGACAAACAAGAACTTGTATGTACATCTTTCAAATGCATGAATCTTGATGCAGACTTGGTGTCATATATAAAAAGTCAACAGTAGTCATCTTTATAAAAAGTTCAAATAATCACTTTATATTTCAAATTTTATATATCAATTCCATTACACTAATACAAAAAGTTTGAACATTGGACAAAGCGATGGCATTCATAGTGACGACATTTGTGGATTGTACATGACTGATGAGTGTTCATAAATTTGGGAAAGTTTATTCATGGTTTGTCATAAGTTCTGCTCGGTTAAGAAATACTTCAATTTACGTAGAGTCAAACTTTTAATGGCTATTTTGATTTTAAGGGGCCTCAGAGGCTACCTAGCAGTAACTTTTTATGGGTCCACCAGCATTTTCGGAGGCCATTGGCTCCCACTTATTTAAAACCCTGTGTATGTAGACAGAAAATGATGTACGTGGACAGGAAATGATGTTGTATGTAGACAAGCAATGGTGTTAGAGGATGCTGTATGTAGACAGAAAGTGATGTGTTAGAGAATGGTGTATGCAGACAGAAAGTGATGTGTTAGAGGATACTGTATGTAGACAGAAAGTGATGTGTTAGAGGGTGCTGTATGTAGACAGAAAGTGATGTGTTAGAGGGTGCTGTATGTAGACAGAAAGTGATGTGTTAGAGGATACTGTATGTAGACAGAAAGTGATGTGTTAGAGGATGCTGTATGCAGACAGAAAGTGATGTGTTAGAGGATACTGTATGCAGACAGAAAGTGATGTGTTAGAGGATAGCGTATGTAGACAGAAAGTGATGTGTTAGAGGGTGCAGTATGTAGACAGAAAGTGATGTGTTAGAGGATACTGTATGCAGACAGAAAGTGATGTTAGAGGGTGCTGTATGTAAACAGAAAGTGATGTGTTAGAGGATACTGTATGTAGACAGAAAGTGATGTGTTAGAGGATGTTGTATGTAGACAAAAAGTTATGTGTTAGAGGATGCTGTATGTAGACAGAAAGTGATGTGTTAGAGGATGCTGTATGTAGACAGAAAGTGATGTTAGAGGGTGCTGTATGTAGACAGAAAGTGATGTGTTAGAGGATTCTGTATGTAGACAGAAAGTGATGTGTTAGAGGATGCTGTATGTAGACAGAAAGTGATGTGTTAGAGGATGTTGTATGTAGACAAAAAGTTGTGTTAGAGGATGCTGTATGTAGACAGAAAGTGATGTTAGAGGGTGCTGTATGTAGACAGAAAGTGATGTTAGAGGGTGCTGTATGTAGACAGAAAATTATGTTAGAGGGTGCTGTATGTAGACAAGCAGTGACATCAGAAGATGCTTTACACAGATAAAAATTGTTGTCAGAAATTGCTGTGCAAAGATAAGAATTGATGTCAGAAGATGCATTATGTAGACAGAAAGTAATGTCAGAGGATGCTGTATTTCAATAGGAAGTGATGTCAAAGGATGTTGTATTTAGACAGGAAGTGATGTCAGAGGACACTATGTAGGTAGGAAGTGATGTCATAGGAAGCTGTATTTATGTAGGAAGTGATGTCAGAGAATGCTGTAGGTAGGTAGGAAGTGATGTCAGAGGATGCTGTATGTAGGTATGAAGTGATGTCAGAGGATGCTGTATGTAGATAGGAAATGATGTCAGAGGATGGTGTTTGTATATAGGAAGTGATATCAGAAGATGCTGACTATAGATAGGGCAACAAGCTGGCAAAACCACCATCACTTGGGCTACTTAAGTATTAAATAAGGTGTGAATTCATTGTTTTTTTACCTTGTGTTATGTTTCTAATATATAACTGCATAACTGAATTGTAAAAAACAAACATTAATACCACTAACAGTTATAGTAAAGCATGTTTTAGTTGTTTGATTTGCATAGATCAATGTGGTATTACTTCATATTTAAAAAAATAAATGGTGACCATTATCAGTAATATCGACATTAGTGAGTTATGAAATAGTGAATGCTCAGATTAACTTTTAAAAACTTTGCAAAAAAAGTTAACTATTTTTGATATTTTATTTCAGCTACCTCATGTGTAAATAATTGTTTTTTTTGTTTTTTTTTGGTATGCCATTTTAATATAAACTACTAATTATGTCAGAAAATCTCCAAGCATTTATTCACCTTCTGTCAAGATCCAGCAGTGCTCATAGAATATTCTACTGATGACTGATAAATTATGTTTCTTGTTTAAACTCTTCTGTTGTATTTTAGCTTAGGCCACAAGATTCTTTAATCAGTGATGTTACAACAGTGAAAAAATGGGGGCCAGTTTTAACTTATGTCATACAAATAATTATTACTAAAATGTAAAGGTGTGAGTTGACATGGCATTGTGATTAGTATTAAGAGATACTACATCACAATTTACACTACAATTTAATTTATACTTTTCATCTACCTTCTTGTAGATTTTGGGAATGAATGAATAGCTATAAGAGTTGTGTAATATTCAGTCTTTATACTAATAATATATGATAAAAAAAAAAAGTCATGTTTACTTCCTTCCAAACTACGTTTTTTTGAAAAACTTACTTTTCCAATTACTGTATTCATTGGTTCTTCAGTTTCTCCCCAAGATGGTGACTGCATATTCCACTGTTTAATTGTTTTGTCATCTCCAACCTAACATAAAACACAAGTTTTAATTCATATTTTATCAATAAAATGATTCTTAGTAGTTTCTACTATTTCTAAAGTTCAAGTTATGTTCTTTATCAAATGACTAAAGGTAAATAATAAAGGTTATTTTTAAACACTACATTCTTTACAGTCTCTTAGAGTTTTTCCAATGAGAAGACTGTATAATAATATTTCAACCACACCATATCCAATTAAGACTAATACTACTCTCTTCTGACAAATATATAGTTTAACCTATATAAAAGCCAGTGAGTGTCACATCATGCTTGGTTTCTCTTGATTTTTTTCAAATAGGAGGAGTCATAAAAGCTAAAATGCATTTATCCAGATAAAATAGTTCAATTACTATTTGTTCATTATGATTTTAGTGACAGGGGTGGGGTGCCACGAAACCTTATAATTGTAATGAGTGTTGGTAATAATAAGCCTACAGTAAAGACATAGTGTGGGATCACCTAGCCTAGAGCCAAGTGTATAAAATTTATCATGAAAGAAGGAATATTGATTCAATTTAAACTTAAATTTTTAGCTGAATTAAGCTGTTTTCTGTTATATAACCAAAATTTTAAATAAAAACAAAACTCTTTAATCAATGGAGACTTTAAATTAAGGAATCAACAAATATATTTCTAGTTTTGTTGTCTATACACTTCATTTTATACTTTCAGTACATAAACCAACAACAATATTAGATTATACCTTTGGCACTAAGCAACATGACATGAAAGTCATTGTTGGAACATAGTGTTACCAAAACACACTGGCTTTTCTATATATTAGAAGTTGTTGATATAACTGATTTTTAGCTGTGGATTCCTCACAAATTCATTTCATGAATGATCTTAATTTTGATTGGCTCACAAAGGAATTTACCAATGTTTGACTGCCTTGACTACACTCTTCTGTCTCTTTGTTGGTCAAGCTTGATTTCACAAAATTTATTTACTTAATTTAATTATGAAATGTGAGTTTAGGGTATACTATGGAGTGGGGGTGGTAGTACTTGCCCTATCATTTTTAACGGGCTATATGCTAGTTGATTATAATCATGCTTTGCAAACAAAAGACATTTACACTATAGCATTTGTTAAAAAGTGCTTAGTTCTAAGTAATTAATAATAAAGTATATATATCATAACAAGAAAAACATAAAATTATACATGGGTATAACCAAGGTTTGGCCAGGGGAGGTTTCCAAAGCAGACATAGAGGACTTTGCAGAAGGTCCATCCCTTCCTGCAGGAGGGTCTGGTGGTCTTCTCTCAGATTGATATTCTCCTCTCAAACTTTAAGCCCTAAAAATGCTATGACTGTACAAAGAAGAAAATATACTAAGTTGGTTGAAAATTTCACAGTGTGTAGAGCCAAAGGATGCCCTGGCTTCTACCCCCTTTTCCATAGTTCACACTTGTTCATCTTTGCAAAGTTCTCATGTGTTACATTGCTTGAAATAAAACTTACGTGTGTGTGTATAATGTGTATAGAAATGAATTTCTTCATAGTTTTATACTTCTTTATCCTCTACCCAGTTAAGAAGTTGAATGAGTCCTGAGGAAAGGCTTAAAACAATCCAAATGAAAAATAATAAAATTACATTACCAAAAAACAAGCACTCTTGTCATTCCTTGCAATACAATTTGAATACTACCCAATGAGTACCAGTATCAAACTAGCATAATTTATGAACAGAATAAAACCTCAAACAAGCTGTTGAATACTAATATAGATCTTAACGTAATATTATACAACTCACACAAAAATCATAAAAACAAAGCAATTTAACATTTATCGTGTCAACAATGCATACAAAATACTAAAACTTAAAGTATACAAAAAGGTCCAGAATCACAGAAAAAAGGCTAATTGTGGAGCAGCTGTTGTTTTTTTAAAATATTTGACAGTGATATCATGACATGAATGTCAAAATGTAAACATGTAGCAAAAGTAACACAATAAAATATTTGATGACATTATTTGACATCATGTTTCGGACACTGATACCCTAAGAAATTGCTGCTTTCTTTTAATTATTCAAGTAATAAACAACATGTACAAATTTTATTCATTAATATTGGGTTTATTACCAGGATAATTATCAATGATAAAATAAAAATGTGGGAAAACTTTTACATTTTTATTAACACAACAAATAAATACAACATAGATTGGAGGAGCACCCGTTGAGAAGGATCAAAATATATCATATTCCATATCCGTTAACTTACAGAAAAAAAGTAATCTCCGTCTTGAGTAGCACAAATTCCACGAATCATTCCAGAATGAGCTTGAATTGTCCTCGTGCATTTTCTATTGGCTAGATTCCACAGTTTGATCTGGAAAAATAAAATATGTATCTTGATAATCTGTTCTTCCACAACTATACTGTTCTGTAAAATATCCATGAAGTAAATAAGTTACTTGTAGAAAGTTCAAATCAAATTACACTGAATACTGTTGCACTTATACAAGACTAAAACCAATTACTTTTAAAGTTCAGATCAAACTACACTGAATACTGTCATACTTCTACAAGACTAAAACCAATTACTTTTAAAGTTCAAATCAAACTACACTGAATACTGTCGCACTTCTACAACACTAAAACCAATTACTTTTATCACAGAACAGTGCAGTAGAGAAATCAATAATCATAAATATTGGCCCTTCCTACATTTCAGAAAAATTTTATATTTCAAATGTTCTACTAGCAATGACACAGAATATTCTTTTGAATAGAAAACTATTTATATCTTTTTCCAAGAGCTGTTAATTTAGCATTTTTAAACAAGTGTTGCAAGCATTGCTTACATTCTGAAGTATTAGCACATGAATTAAAGTAATCACCTTAACTCTTTCAGCACGGGCTCGGTCCCTGGGATCAA